TTCGCCTCGAGATGCCCAACCACCGTCCCGATCTCCTTAGACGCCTAGTCCTTGTAGCATATCTCCCGCATCCCCTCTCGTTTTCATAAAGCCTCTAAGAACAGCAACAACAGCCACGTCCACGTCTCTTCTCTCTATTTCGCTTTGATGCTCCCCGGTAACAATCTCCGGATCTTCCTACCCCGGTTGGCCATGCCCTCGGAGCCGGCGGCCCAGATGATTCTTGGAACCGGACACGGATAGGTCCTTGAACTCCAGGTTTTATCATCGTCGTCCCGAGACACCTTAACCGGATGCCTGGAACAACGCAACGACACGGCCAGAGGGTGTAAACCACAAAAATCCAAATGAAGAAGGTGGGCTGGCCTTTCTTCTTTGATGGGGCCTTCTTTTTCTTCGTTTTTGGCACTTGAGGGGGAGGGGAAAAGATTGACCGGTGCAGCAATGCGTTTAGAGCCTTTGCGTATGCCTCAACTGTATGGGGTTGTTTGTTCGTTTGTTTTGTTCTTGTCTGGAACCTTTGAATCGGACTTTGATGATTCCGGCCAGCTGGATCGTGAGCAGGCCTTACTCGCCGCCTCGTCACTTTACTCCCTCTATGTGCCTTCAGGCTATCCATCTACCTTGATTGTGATCATCCTGAAAAAAAGAAAAGGGATAAAAAAGACAGAGAAAAAAAAAATCCTTTTTCCCCATTTCCACCTCCCATGTACACGCCATCCTTTCCACCACACCATCGGATGCCGAGACATGCCTCACCGCTTGGCATCATGTGCCCCGTGGAGCAAAAGAGTCCCGCGGAATAAGCATATCCGGGACATGTTAAACATTAAGCATAACTAGTCACTGTGTGCCCAGCACCTCTTCTGCATCGTTTTACAAAACACATCACTTGGGAATACGGAACACGGGACACGAACCCATGCAAGAGTGATGATGATTGCCCATCGTCTCTTGTCGGGCGTCAAAAAAAGTCATTTCAAGAATAAAACGCACAAAACGCACAAGTGGATGCAGTAGAAAACATGAAGCCTTGCCGTATGATAACCCGTACGTGGTACCTGTGCTGCTAACTGTCTGATCGGTCTGTCTTCTATCCACACCGCTCCGCGCAACCTCTCTCGGAGAAGGCCCTTCTGCTGCCGTCGTCGTCGTAATTGATGCAGACAGTAGAGATACACCTTCCTTCTTTGTGCTGGTGAAACGAAAGAGATGCCAAACCGCAACGCAGAGCAATGAACATGACCTAATCGTACGCCAGAGCTGTCGCAGAGAGAGAGGAAAGCCGTCGCCCGTCATACTCGTTCAACCCCAAAATGTTCTAGCATCCGTCTAAATGGCGTACTTGCGAGTCCACTCGCGGGCGGTGGCCTCGTATCTGGCACGGTCCGTCTTGTAGACGTGTGCGATCTCAGGGACGAGCGGGTCGTCAGGGTTGGGATCCGTCAGCATTGAGCAGATGGAGAGAAGGACTGTTGTGGTCAGCAGGACGAAAATGCAACAATGGGGGTGAGATGACATACCCTTGGAGATGGTCAACGCCGGGCTCCATTGGTCACGCAGGATATCTAAGCAGATGCTGCCGTTGGAGTTGATGTTGGGGTGGTAGATGCGAGTAGTGAAGTTGACCTTGGGGGGCTTGAAGGGGTAGTCGGTAGGGAAGTGGATCGCAAGGAAGAAGACGCCGCCGGAGTAGGGAGAGTCACCCTGTGTCTGTTAGTATATCGTTCCATGTCGGGTTGTTTTTTTTTGAGACTTGATATTGAACGCAGACACGTGTGTGGCAAGGCTGCCGCGGTGTCCGCATCCAACAAAGGCATCAGGTGAGGGAGAGAAACTTACGGGGCCCATAATCGTCGCCTGCCAGTGGAACTGTGAATCTCATGTCAGTAAAATGTCCTCCGTGTCCGCCAAATATGCAGCGTGAAGCCATCATTTCGGACTTGGCTGAGTCATGATGCAAAGGCATCATGGCGGTTATCGGGGTGCCGACGTACCAGGTCCTCGCCGACAGGGCCGGCAGAGCAGGAAGAGGGCGGGTCACTGTGAAGAGGACGTCAGCATTTTTGTTTCTTGATAAAAATGAGGCTTCGAGTGTATATTGTCGCCGCCGTCGCCGTGGGCATCGTTCATCGGCCGAGATTTGATTGAAAAGTTGAGGGCATCCTCGCTGAAGAAGACCCCGCTCTCCGATGGCCCCACCTGACGTCTCGGGCTGCGACAAAACGCTGGGACGGCGACGGCGGTCGGCTTGGGAATAGACGTAGAAGAAAACGGACGTACCGGCCGAGGTCAGTGAGCTCCTTGTTAATGCGCTTAAGGGCCATTTTGAATGTGTTGTGTGTGGTTGTGGGGGTATCTAGAAAAGATGGTTTGGTCGCAGGAGCGCGAATGCTCTGTGGTGTGTCTGTTGTTGTGTGAGGGGCAAAAGTCAGCGAAAGCGGTCGGCGGTAGTAGTGGGCTTTTTTTGGATTTGCGGATGCGGGTGCAGTCGACAAGGGAAGGAGGGAAATGGGTCACTGGTTGCTGTTGCTGCTTTTTTATGGCTCCCTTTTTTTGCTACTACTGGTTTTTGGTCTGCTTTGGTGGAAATGGCGGAAGGAGTAAGGGGGAGAAATAAAAAAAGAATTAAGAAAAGTAGAAAGGCAGTTCGATGTAGAAATAAAAACGCAGGCAGAGCGTACAGAGAAAGACAGAGAGAGGGAGAGAGAGAGAACAAAGAAGAGGAGGGACAGCCTCGTTAATCCTTCCGCCTTGTGTGGTTTTGGAGGGGTTTCGTAGAGGCGAGAGAACAGCCAGTGAAACGACCAAAAAGGAGCAGATGGAATATCGTAGCAAGAGCGATAGTAGTAGTTGTAGAAGCAGGAGTAGCGGAAGCAGCAGCAGCGAGCCCAAAAGTAGGAGGTGTGTGATATTTTAGATGTGATGATGATGATGAGGATGGCGGTGATGATTGCAAATCATGTATTTTGGTTTCGCGGTTGCATGCGTACCTTTTGGACAGCGGAAGAATGGGTTTTTTATCCTTCGTTGAGACTTGACAATGAAGAAAGAAACAACTTTTTTTTTCTCTAAAAATGATCGGTCGGTTCGTCGCCGGTCGGAAGTAGTACCGTATCGTGCCGAAGGAAGGTCGTGGAGAATTCGATTCGCTACGTACGTTCCCGTTACAGGTTGATGTCGAGATTGGTGCTGGGTGGAGGGAAGGAAAGAGAGGAGAAAGTCACAGCCAGGCCTGCGAAAAATGACGGGAAGGGGTCACTCAGTGAGTTTGTGTGGTGGGTGGTGGGTGCGCTCCTCCCACTTTCGCCCACCAGTCAGTTGGAGGGGAAGGGGGGCGTCCGTCCGTTCCCCCCTCCTTTGTGCCCGTGGAAAGAGGGAAGGAGGGGTTGGGCAGGCAGACGGCGAGAGCCACTGAGGCATCAGCAGCCAGTGGCCAGTAGACAGCTGCAACAACAGCAACAGCGGCAACAGCAGCCAACAGGAGGAGCAGCCACTCGCTGAGCCACGAAAAGACGACACACACACATGTACACCAACAGCCCTATCTGCCTATGATTCATTCTATGGGTATTGGTGCCTCGTCTCTTTTTTTCTTCTTTTTCTCTCTTGTACCTTTCGCCAACCGCTGCCCAGTTAGCGTCATGCAAACCAAACAAACTGTGGGCTTCCCGCTGTGCACTCTGCAGCTTGGTTGGCTTATGACGGCACCACCGCCCAGAAGAGTCGTGTGCGCTCTCTGTTTCGGAGCATCTGCTAGGTGGTGCATGTGGGTTCGCCCCACTAGAATGAGAACCTGAATGGAACATCTGCACCGCCACATTTTCTCCCAAAGGTACTTAGGTCACTAACAGATGGCAACTCGATTGCTGCGTCAGAATTGGTAATCCCTCCAAGTTACTCAGCTTCAGCTCAGCCTCACCTCAGGCTTGTGTAAGTCTACCATATGCTTCCCTGGTCTTCCACCACTTGACTGGGCCTCTGATTGCATCCATCTCCTCAGGCATTACAGCCTACAATCTTCAGCAAGTCCCAGTTGCAGATGCAGATGGTAGATTAATGAGCCGCTGCCACTGCAAGCGCAGTAAAACCGACCTTTTTGATCCTCCGGCCCGACGAGCTATGCAACAAGGGCCTTCCCACCCCCTGAAAGCCTCAGTTACCGTGGCCTGACACCACTCGCTAGGTCTGACGACGTTCCATGCCCCAGCAAATAAGACACCAAAACCAGCTCACAAACCGAGGATGGCGTGGCATAAACCCTTATGCTTGAGCTGCAAGTGAGGTTATTCTTTTGCCAAGACACCTTCTCAAGACAGCATCTCTGCATCTGCCATCCCATCGCCAGCCAGACAATGACGTCCAGCTGTCTCCTCTCGGACCGAGTTCAATACATGCCTCTGCCACCAGATTTCCCCTAATGCCACATGTACCTGGCCCTCAATGCACACCGAGCATCCCAACCCGGGTCTGAACTCTCTACCGGCTGCTGCCGAACACTGGGCCATCGCCAAAAGGCATCTCCCTGCCATGTTTCAAAACACCCCCAACACCACTCCTGCTTCGGCTCCTTCCATCGTTTGCCAGTTGTCCTGATCTTCCATGGTGCAGATTGTGGCTGTGCTTCCTAAAGAGCCTCATCCCACAGTACCGGCACGATGGGGGATCTATTACTCAGATTGCAGTCACCATGCCCGGATTAATCACAGATATGCAGGCACTGTCACCGAAACTGGCACTACTACCTTGTGAAAGCTTCGCTGCGACGGTAGAGCCGCGACGACGTCATTCGCCGACACCGGGCTGTTACATAATCATTAACCACTGAACATCAGCCAATGAGAGTATGCCCTTTTTGTGCCTCGGATGCTGCTCGGGACGGTTACCGGCGGGGCAATTGCCTTGAGGCCGGCAGTTGAACGGCAATAATTCGTATCATGAACTCTTGGAGATTCTCGTCCAGAACATCGTGAGGACGAATCAATTGATAAATTCCCGAAATGTTCCGACCAGCACTGAGGACATGCGCAAGGCAATGCGTCTCGAGACGCGCCATTCCCGCTGCGAGGACCTTCGCATCGTCGGCGAGCGGCCCCGTCTTTGACTGGGAGGATCCTCTAAACTCCAAGAACCTCCTGACCGAGGAGGAGCTCGCCATCTCAGAAACAGCTGAGCGGTACTGCCAAGAGCGTATGGCGCCGCGCGTACTTCGTATGTCCTATAGCTTCCGTTCCCGCGGCTTCATCTAACTGTAATAAAGAGGCCTACCGAGACGAGAACTACGACAAGAAGATACTCGAAGAAATGGGTGAGCTGGGACTCCTTGGTGCGACGATCGAAGGATATGGCTGCGCAGGCGTCTCGACTGTTGCTGGAGGACTCATCACCAAGGCGGTAGAGAGAGTAGACAGCGGCTATCGCTCGGGCATGTCCGTTCAGTCGTCCCTCGTCATGGGCGGCATCGCCGAGTTCGGTACGGAGGAGCAAAAGGAGAAATACCTGCCTGGTATGGCACAAGGTAAACTCCTGGGCGCATTCGGTCTCACCGAGCCCAACCACGGCAGCGACCCGGGGTCGATGGAGACGACGGCCAAACCGCATCCGACCAAAACCGGCTACTACTCGCTCTCCGGAGCTAAGACGTGGATCACAAACTCCCCGATCGCCGACGTGCTGATGGTATGGGCGAAGCTGCAGGATACGGGCAAAATCCGCGGCTTCCTCGTTGAGCGCTCCCAGTGCCCACCGGGGACCCTTGAGACCCCCGCCATCAAGAACAAGAACGGCCTGCGAGCGTCGATCACGGGTATGATCCAGCTCGACGACTGCCCCGTCCCGGAAGCCAACATGTTCCCCACGGTCGAGGGTCTGCGCGGGCCCTTCTCCTGCCTCAACAGCGCCCGCTACGGCATTTCTCTCGGCGTCATCGGCGCATTAGAGGACTGCCTCGCGCGTGCGAGGACGTACGCCCTCGAGCGCAAGCAGTTCAAGAATAACCCGCTGGCAAAGTACCAGCTCGTCCAGAAGAAGCTCGCTGACGCTGCGACGGACGCCGCGTTTGGTACAGTCGCCGCCATTCAGGTCGGTCGCCTCAAGGACGAGGGCAAGGCGACGCCAGAGATGATTAGCATGATCAAGCGCCAAAATTGCGACCGCGCGTTGCACAACGCGCGCGTGCTTCAGGAGATCTTTGGCGGCAACGCCGTCAGCGACGAGTACGGTATTGGGCGGCACGTGGCCAACTTGTTCGTGACGCAGACGTACGAGGGACAGAGCGATATCCACAGTGAGTGATCCCTGACAACATGTACAGATAACGATCTTCTGACACTAATGAACAGGTCTAATTCTCGGCCGCGCCATCACGGGCATCCAGGCATTTGTATAAGCACGCTGCGTGGACGGCCTAGGACATTTTGATAGTATGCCGGATGACAGTCACGGCTCAACTAAATATACTGAAGAAAAATAACGATGTTTACAGATGGGTCCAGTTCCAACCATCATGTTATTTGTATGTGACTGCAATGATTATTTATAAATATCCCTAGACACTAGAAGCAAAAGACTAGGTCCATCCAGGATTCGAACCTGGGCTTACGGAAGGAACTGATGGTGAAATCAGAATCCGACGTCCTAACCAACTAGACTAATAGACCGGGGTAAGCTAGGTACTTGCTAGTGAGGTGCAGCGGCGAAGCTATTCATGTGGGCCGTTCCACCTTGATACTAGTCCAAGCCGGCCGACTGATTCGAAAGGTATGGAACACACAAAGCTAATTTAGACAAGCACATGGTATTTTTGTAACGTCTAAATTCGTGTTATGTCGTAGTCCTAGATTCTGTATTGTATAAGGGGTCGGACCGATCTTGAACTGAATCAGGTAGCACAATATTGCAACATTAAACCTTCCTTCTTATACACTTACCCATCCTGCAATAAGCACATACGACCATACCCACTGGAAAACTCGGGATCCCGTCCGCTCTCCCATAGATAAGCCAGTGAGGGCCGGATTAGTAGTTGGGTCGGTGACGACCAGCGAATACCTGGTGTTGTATGTTTTGTATTTTTTGATGAATGGTGTTTTTTTTTTTTTTTTTCTTTTGCAGTATAGGAGGAAGCTTGGTGCAGTGTGGAACTCCTTTGCGCAACTTACCTACTTTTGATCTGGAAGAGCGACCGGATGCCCGCCCCATGGCCTTCGATCTATGCCCAACTCTTGGGACAGTTCGGTCGATATGGCCGGCAGTCCAGATGTCCGTTGAACACCTACCTAGCACCTGCGATTTGTCAGTAGAGGCTATCTAGTATGGCCGGATGACCTGTGCAGAGGGAAGGAGAAGATGACATTTGGTGATGGCTACGTTGGTGATCTTACGGTCACTTGCGTAAGGTACTAATGAACCAGAATGTAAGGGTTGTATCGGTGGCCACGATTGTGTGGATTGTGATACTACCATTGTGGTTGCTACGATTTAATTTCCATAACACACAGCCGTCGAACTTGTTTTATGACCAGAAATTCAGAAGTCCGTAGACTGCTCAAGTCGGCATAAACAATCACATGTGAGTTTCATTCCTCTAAGCTGTTGAAAAGAACCACAATCTGGAGTCTGGTTGAGTATGGTTGAAGGACATTCAACAAATAAATAAATAATGACCTTAAAGGCTACAACCAGCCTATTAATCAGTCCAGAAACAACAGTGCTGGTCAATTCGGTCAGGCAGAGGCTACAGAGGTACCTATGTTAGAGAGTAAGAAGACGAGGCATAAATGGCTCAGTATTACAGGCTCAGGATAATCCAGCGCAGCAACGTCAAGGTTATCTGGTTTTATTCTTCTTTAAACTGTGTAGTTTAACCTAGTGGATAACAAAGGTTACATGACCCTAGTTTGACATTCGGAAGGGCTTTTCCGAGTTTGGTGATTTATTTCGGTTCAGATTGGGGCAAAATGCAGGAATACCTCGAAAGATTCCAAGTCCCAATTAGCATCGAGGTTGACTTGTGGCCATCACGAATCAGGCAGTCGATCAAACACCCGCTTTGTGACAGAAACCATCAGTTCTCAAGGGCGTTCAGCATTTCAGTGGCATGTGATAATGCTGGGAGGATTGGCACGTTTTCACGGTGTCTCCCGATCAGATCAGAAAGGTAAAGAAAATGGCAATAGGCTCCAGATATGTCGACAACTACAAACCTCTATCTAACCAGGAAGAAAGAAACCAACACGTGTGAAGCTTCATAATTGCAAGTCCCACCCTGTCCAATCCACCATCGATCCCCTCTCAATGGATCAAAGTGCCCAAAACGAATGCCAGCAACCAGCTGTGGCAATTACTAGGGCCGGTAGAAAGCTTTGTCAACCTTACCTCTTGCAAAAGTGATCTCTCGCCGTAGAGAAAGTAGTGTTACGGCCCGGGCCAGGATCGAAACGTACATCAAAGTCAGAAAGCAAAAACACGCAATCCTTTCTTCGGACCACACTCCCGTCGTGCAAGTTGAACTGCCAAACGATCTGTCTATTATACCAGCACAGCGCAGACCACAATGCCGAATAAACCAGTATCGATACTCATACATGCCAAAAACGCCAGACAATGCCATACCCCAGCCTTGCGGCCACCGTCCTTCCCACTGCAAATCACGAATCCCTCCTCTCGATGCCAACCATCTCATATCCGGCCTCGCCGTCCCTCCCCCTTCCCCTCCCCCTGCCTCTAGAGAACCCAACACCCTCCTCCTCATCCGCGGCAGCACCGTTCTGCTGAGCCTCGGGCGCATTCGCCGTGCTTGCGCTTGCAGCATGCCCGCCGAACGAGATGGGCTTGAGCTCGCGGTACCTCGAACCCCAGATGGCGAGTGCAACGCAGATGGCGGCGCTCGTCGCCATCGTGCCCCACCACATGGTGTTCCTGGGCACGCGGCCAGTGTAGACACTCGAGATGACGAGGTGCAGACCGTGCAACGTCAGCGCGAAGTCGGGTACAAGTTTCGAACGGCTAATGAGGATGATGATTGCGACGGCCCTGTTTTTGTCAGTCTTTTGTCAGGCAAACCACAACGGGCAAAAACAACATCAATAGCAAATAAAACCGCGAGGCTGGAGTCACTCACATGCAGAACCCCCCATCCAGAACCCACACAAACGCGGACAGCCACCCCTGCGTCGTATCTCCCCGTACGGCCTCCCATCCAAAGACCAAGTCCAGCGTGAAGCCTGTGCCGGCGACGAGCGCGGTGAAAAGCATCAGCACCAGCGCCGCGGCGTAGTACAGGCCTTGCAGTGCAGCGATTTGCGAGGCGATGCGTAGAGGGGGCAGGTCGGCGAGGGCGCCTGGCCGGGGCGGCTTGCGACGGCGGGGCATTGCCACGGCGCTGCGGTCCTCGTCGCTTGGGGCTGTTGTTGTCTATACCACCGGCGTCGGCGGTAGCAACGGGAAGCAATTCAAACTTTCGATTTCGGCGTTATTTGGAGTCGAGTCGAACAGGGGTAGTATGCTTGTGGCCAAGAGTAAGAAGGAAAAGAAAAGAGTCGATTCAGCTGCGAAATGGTACGGCTTCCCTTTCCCAGGGATAGAGAAATAAGGTCGGGGGGGTTTAAGATACGCTGCGCTTGTCCGAATCTCGCTACCGGGGTCGCATGTAAAGCTCGTGCTCGTTTCCCTCTTTTTCGGCAATAAAACGAAATCCTTGTTCTTACAATCTTGAACGGGAGGTAGTAGAAGAGCCGTAGACTTGGAAAGGAAAAAGGAAAACAAAATACTTTGGGGAAAAAAAAGGGTCGTAACTTCGTTCGCGAGATTGCTTGTATCGTCTTGTCAGAAAACACAACGTCAGAAAGATGGGCGCAGCGGACGGACACCGAAAGGTTACGCCACACAAAGTCGGAGCTTTCTGGCGACCGTAGCAGGAACCCAAAACGGGAGCTCCTGCCACGTCAAATGTAACTGCGTAGGCTCCAGCCACAAATGAAATGACGCTAGGCATGAAATGGACAAGGCTGAGGCTGCAGTGCCGCGGAAGCTGCGGGACCCATGTCAACGCCTGCCAAAGTAGCTCTCACCGCCCTGGGATTCTGCCCCTCCATCATTTCTCGAACCGCAGCTTCATGCGCCGGCGTCATCCGTCATTTTCAAGATTTACCATCTCGACTGCCATCGATACCACGTAAGACCGGACGTCTCCATACCGCAACAACCCAAATCGAAAGTACTCTGTAAAACCTCGCGACAGCTGCCCGTATCGATCGACCCGAGTCGACCATCAACCCCAGACGAAACAAAATGGGCCTATTTTCAGCATTCCAAAAGTCGGATGAGGACCGTCGCGCGGAGGAAGTGCGCAGCGGAGCCCGTGCCCCGGACCGTAGCGAGCGCCGCAAGTGCTGGGAAGCCCGCGACGCCTACTTTGGCTGCCTGGACCGCAATGCCATTACCGACGCCCTCAAGGACGACGGCAAGGCGCGCAAGGCGTGCCCCAAGGAGAATGCCGACTTTGAGAGGGATTGCGCTGCTGCTTGGGTATGTTTCTGCTGCAATTCGGCATGTACCAGACGATGTGATGCGATGGGCCGCAAAGAAAAAAGCTGACACTTTGCAGGTGAAATACTTCAAGCAATGGCGCGTAGCAGACATCCAGAAGAAGGAGCGTATAGCCCAGCTTGAAGCCGAGAACGCTATCAAGATGGACGTTACCACGACCTTCGCCGACAATTCCAAGGGCACCAGCAAGGCCGATCTCCAAGACATGCTTGCGTCGAGACGCAATTAGACACTTCGACAGCCGACCGTGTCGCTCCGGGACCACAACTCCAACTTGATGTCGAATCTCCCATGTACAACAACAAACACTCACACGCTATAGATACACAACCCGGAGGAGTGGACACGTCTGTAATATAATGTATTCATGAACACAAAAAAAGTTTGTTGCTCTTGGCGTATCTTGTCCCGATAGGGGGATCTGTTTGTATACACCAAGCTGGAGCACTCTCAAATGAGAACCAACTCTTCTATTTTGCTACCTGGACGAAACCCAACCCGAACAAAGTGGGAGGAAACCGCCTCTTAATACCGCTCTAGCCCACGAATCTTTCCTTTCCCACCCTTCCCTCATCCTGAAGTCATCACTGTTAATGATTTTTACGTGATGACCTGTATGTATGACTTTGTATCGGAAAACAAGAGAAAAAATATGATGAAGGAAAAAGAAAAAGACAAGGGGAAAAAAAAGAGAAAAAGAGAAGCATGCTTAATGCAATGGTGGTATCATCCATGTGAGAAAACACTAGTAAAAAGCTCTGTGGCTCATCTCGGCTTCCTGTTGCCTTCGGTCGCTGTGAGACCTCCTTGAACGAGCTTTCAAAAATTGTCATAGACCCGTTTGATGCAATTGTGATTTGTCGATCCGTCCTCCTGCCTCCGCTGCTTCTTCGTCCCCTATATTCCATTTACTGCTCCGTATTCGTAGAAACGATGCGTATGCCGCGACTCCTCTTCCGCAGGAGGATAGCGCCCTACGCAAGTCCCACACGGAATTGGCTCTCACCGTTTGCCTCCTTGGGTAGCGGCGGAAGGTCCTTGTTGAGGGAGTCCTTGCTGAGGCGGGACTTGAGTTTTAGCGAGTCCTCGCGGCTCATCGTAGAGCCATTGGGTAGCGCTCCGTAACCGCTATCCTGGCTCTCAGGCTTGAGGTGGTGCCCTTTGGGAGGCGTTGGCGGTGCATACTCCCGAAGGCCTGCAAACCTACGCTCCATGCTCGTCTTGGCCGGGGTGGCAGGTCGGTAGTCGTCCGAGTGACGGCTTCGACCACCAACTGATGAGGCCTCTGCTGCTTCTTCAACCACTGGCAGGATAGGAGCTCCCTGGCCTCCCGACTCTCGGCGCTCTCCCGATTTGGTAGTCAGCACCATATCCGGCACATTAGCCTCCGATGCCCCTTGTCTTTCAGTCCGGCGGGCCTCTTGGGTGGCTCGCTCGACAGTTTCGCGGGCTTCCGGCGACCTTTGACCATCTGGCGGAGTGGGCGGAGGTTGGTAGTTGGGCATCGGCGGGATGTTGTTAGCCGTCGATCTTCGCCGTAAACTTGAGCTCCAGCTGGCGACACGTTGACGTTCGGCAGCAGCTGCGGCCTCAATTTGCTCCTGGTCCCTCCGCTGTGCCTCCCGCCGTGCCTCCTCGGGGGACATGGTAATACCCTCGACGAAGTTGTAAAAACGGTCGCCATACTGCTCAGGGGGCAGTGCCGAGATCTGTGTCCTGTCGCTGGTAAGACCCTTCCAGAAGTGCTCAATCTTTTTGATCATTCCGTACTGCAGAGTGTTAGCAATGACAAATCGGCAAACGCGAGAGCTCAACTTACGTGAGTCAGGCAGTCAATGACACCCAAATAATAGATCTCTTCGGCGGGGGAGTTGTCCTCGTGCGTTGCCTGGAAGCCGCCATCATCCTGGTTGAAAATGTAGCCAGATCGGCTGTGGCCCTCGTCAAGCTCATTAGGCATCTGCGTTGCCGTTTCGCCCATCGGCACAGGTCGCTCATGGCGTATCATCTGCCTCAGTTCTCTAGCCTTGCGAGCGTTCTCCAACTTGGACGGCGTCCGGAGGAGCACCGACGGAGGCTCACCATCCTCCTGACTGTTATCACCGCCAGGGCTAAAGACCTGAAGGGTTTTGCCACGAAGGTTCTCCTCATTGCCCCGGTTGAGGTCGTGAATACCAATCAAAAGAGAGTAGTCCATGATCTGAAGCTTCTTCATCAAAACCACGTCCTTCTGAAGTTGTTCCAAAAACAGCTTCTTCTTCTGAATGCCTAGTTCGAGATGGCGCTGTCTGCGCAGCCAATTCAGATCCTTAAGAGTCGCTCGAGGGTTCTTCTCCAGGTCGTCTTCCCTATAGTCGCGACCGATCGTGGAACCCTTCAAGTCGAATGTCGTGTGGATATCGCGATGCGGGGGGAAAAGGTTGTTCATTACGACAAAGTGGATCTTTTTCCCGTACGGCATCTTTACTCTGTGCAGACCATAAAACTGCGAGAGCAGCGTGTTCGGATTCTCGGTAACATGGTGATAGTAATCCTTGAGGATCTTGCGCAGAAACTTATGCTCGGCGTGGTGGATTGTCTTGATGATGTACTTGTAGTCTCTGGAGAAGTAGAAGAAACTGCCGCTCTTTCCAGGAGACCCGAGCTCCGACAAGATGTACTTGCCCGTCAACGACATCAAGTAGTCGGCGGGATCGAGACGGAATCGATTGCGCAGATGTCGGAATACCCACGGCGCATAATCCTTAAATTTGAAGTCGTACTTTGCCGAGGGCACTAACTCATTACCGGCACTGAGAATGTTAGCATATTTGGTGGGTATTTCAGAGAACATGACTTACATATCAAACGTCGACTTCTGCTTCGCATCAAAATCGGCATCCGTGAGCGGACGGTCCAGCTTAGCGTTTGTTCTGGACACAGATACACGGATACCCGTCAACATGTTGTAGGCGGTGACCCAGTTGGCATGGTGCTCGTCGACCTTGGTTCCAACCAGTACCCTGTCATCGTCCTCCTCTTCTCTCCTCTTCCTTTTGCTGGCGCGCTTTTGCCGGTAGTGCTCGGCCCAGCGCAAGGCATCTTCGTCGGGAACAACCTCGTCACGTGGGTTATCGGATTGCATAGATCGGGTGTCCCTGCGCACCAAGTTGAGCGACGCTCTACGCACTCGTTGCGTCGTACTCGTGTGGGATGTGGGAGAGAAACGACCGCTTGAAAAGGCGGCATCGGAGCCGTCTTTGGAGCCCCGATTGGACTGAGGGCCTGGAACCTCTAGCGTGTTTCGGTGCTTGAGGCCGCCATTTGGCGGTTGTAGGCCGGTCGAGGTAGACGCATTGGGGGTTGCGCCAGCAGATTGGTACAACGGCGGGGAAGAGTACCGATGCGGCGATTGAGGGCTTTTATGAGCATTCGGGTCGGGGGATAGCGAGGTGGTGCTGAGAGCCGGTGCTGGCGTCGTCGAACCGTTCGCGTTACTTTGAGAGGGTATCGCAGGCGGTGCATAGTTGGGGCTGCTGCCATTTGTCTTCACTGTATGATCAATCGATCCGGGCGCGGGTGACGCGATTGAGGCCGGCGTCAGGTATGCATCCGTCGGACTCGAATGGTCTGTATCGGAGTTGGGTTTCCTCACTACCTTGATAGGAGGCGGCGGTGCCGTCCTGTCGGGCATAGCTACGGTGCGTCCATTTTGCAACGGGTGCTTATAGTTTCTGTGGTCGTTGTAGTGGCTGTTTTGATAGCCGTTGCGGGAGTCGTGGTCGGGATAGTCTGCAAATTCTGGGCTTCCTCCGGCCCCTGCGGAGCCGTTGGGCAGTGAGCTCATGCTAGTCGGCCTCGTCCCATTCATCTGAGTAGGGATGGAATCAGAGACGTCGGAGGCGTGAGTTGACGAGGTTGAGCTCTCGTCGAAGCTGTCATGGAGGTTGTTTGAGCGCGACGGGCGGAGGGGTAGGGAGTGGGTGAGCCCATTAATTGGGTGGTGCTTGTGACCAGACAGCTCGAGGGTGTTGTTTGGGTCGAGATCCAAGATGTCTGAGTTTGGCGAGTAAATGGGGGAGTTCTCGCGGGTGAGATACGTGGGCATGGTCGATCGGGCCGGGGTTCGAGACGCTCGGGAGGGTTAGACGAGGAAGGAAAATGGGGGTGGATGTGACGGGGGTTGGTGACAACAGCTATTCTGAGCGGTGCCGTTTTTGTTGTGTCAATTCGTCCGTCCCCTGGTCCGTCGTCTAGGGTGTACGAGAGGAGGTGAGGAGATCAAGTTAAGAAAAATAATGGTGTCCCCAGTTCGTTCGTTTGCAGATAGACGGACAGCAGAGCAATGATAAAAAGCTGAGTGAGGCCTCAGCACATGCTTCGGAGATTGAATACAACGGAGGGGAAAAAAAATCAAATAAAGGAAGCGGCCGTTCGGTTCGTATCGTTCGTCGTCTGGGTATTGTGGTCGCTGAGTTGCAAAGGGAGATTGCGGCGCCCGTATCGTGCTTCGGTTCGATTGCGAGGAAGAGAGACAAATGCAGAGTCGGAGATTAGGGATGGGGGATGGAAAGTTGCTCTTGACTACGGCGTCGTCGTGGCCTTGAGTGAGAGAAGAGAAGCAGCAGCGATGGGGGAGACGGAGCGGATTGAAAGTCGAAACGGAGGAGGATAGTTCAATGGATCGAGCATGTCTCTGCGGCGACGTAACGCATGACTTCCGGAGGAAAATGGGTGTGTTTGTTGGGTGGTGATGGATGGTGGTTAGTGGTGGTGGTGGTTTAGGTAGATGGGAAGGAAAAGCTGGGGGATGGAGGTTTTGACAATTGAGAGAGAGCGCGTTGCGTTGCGTGGGTTACGAGAGACACCGGGGGGCCAAGGTACAGGGGCAGGGTACGCTGAGAGACAGGAACAGGACCTGGTACGTCCACTGAGGAGATGAACACGAACCACTAAGAGCCACTGAAGACCCGACGTGGGCACTTACTTGATGGGGGGTAGAAGCAGGAGAGGCCGGTGACCCACGGGCCAGGGACGACGGGTTAGTGGGAAAGTGTTAGTGTTGGTAACTGATCTCAGCCAAAAATCCTATCTGAGGTACATGAACATTACGTATCAGCGGAGGTGCCACTATTCTAGGAAAGAAGGGACAGACACAGGCACAGGCACAGACACAAACACAGACAGGCAAGAGAGACTCGCGAGGAAGGGCAGGTGCACCTCCCTCTCTGGTTGTGGCACCTGCACTGGCAGTACGCACACTGGGACAGGCGCGTGGGCGTGGGCAGGCAGTGGCGGGGGCAGAAGGAAGGAAAGGGAAGTGAAGGGGAGGGGAAAGGGCAAGAGCGCTATGAGATGAGCCTTGGTCACCAGGTATCTATCCATATTAAACAAGCAGGGAGATACTTGGAGCTCCACTAAAACCAAATGAAGGGGAAGATGGACAAACATGACTGGCCACAGGCTGGAGCATCTGGGCCGAACGGGGGCTTGGCCGTCCACTCGTCCTAGGGTCCTTTTTTGGGGGGGGAGGAGGGGGCTGGAAATGGGAAATGAACATCCGCCATTTTTTTTTTCTTTCGTCTCCTTAATCCCCTTCCCAACCTTCCAAACTTCTATTGCGTCTTCTCGGGCTCTCGTTCCTGTCCGAGGGCAACACGTATTCAAAGATGAAGAACAAAGGTCATATGTCAGTTTGGGTTCTGTCGGGAGGCAAGCCAACCGTCGCTTAGCCTGCGATCGTCGCACAAGCCTTCCCACCAGGTTCAGCTAAGCTCTTTGGACTCGATAAAAGAACCCTGGCATACACGATGTGACCCCAAGTATGAATACATTCCTATGGCGCAGGATGATGGGGAGCATCCAAGTCCCAAGGGAAAAGCACAGAAAAGTCCTAGGGGGCTTCGTCGCTTTGGCCGACTACGCTACCACCTACGATAAAAGAACTGCAGGCCTCGTGGTCAGCCCGGTCCCGCCCAGCCTAGGCCCAAGACATGGTCGACGCCGTGTTTCCGGTCAACTGGGTCAGATTCGGACAAGCCAGCAAGCCAGAGCGTTCCCCTCCCAGTCTTTCGATGGTTACAGCCATGGCCAGAAGAGGCGCTCCGCTGGAAAAGCACGGTGCCTTGACAGTGTCACCATAGTTCTGGAAGCTGGAGATGAACGCAACCCACACCCATGACAGCGAGCTGTCGTTGCTGAATCTCATCTCCAAACGTATTATGTAAAATATCTGTCCCCAGTACGGATACCTGGGACCCAAAGGACGATCAAAGGAACGTTGAGAAGATCGGTACATACACATCCACATCAGACGGACCACCCCGCGAGTATCCGTACTTGCATATGCGGTTCCATACTCATCATCGTCCTAGTGTCTGTCACTATTCATAGTATATGCATGCCGACACCAGGTGCCCATCCTCCTTTACTGAGCCTCAGGAGGTGCATTTAATTAGTCAAACGCCTACGACATTGTGGCTATCTGTCTGCTGTTTTCCGCGCATGTTCCAATATCAAGGGGCCGGTGGGCGGCACAGTGGCCTCTTGTCTTGCAGTTGTGTCGACCGTCCCTTATTGTCATGCATTAAGGTGAAGGTGCGGTCTGAATATTCTGTTTGCATCATGGCTAATGTACACGTTCAAGGGGCCCCATATATGCCATGAACCGTCGACCGACCGCCGTCCGAACATCAAGGCTGGTTCCACAGCCTCATCCCTCATTCTTCGTCCTCATCCCGTTCTATACATGAATCACCATGGAAGGAGACCTTGGAAAGGGAGCCGCAATAGTGTCCAGTACTATGTATGTCAACGCGTGACATCTGCATCCCTCTCCAAATCCATCATGGCCGCACTTTAATCTCAACGACCTGCATCCGCCCCCCCTCTAAATCCGACCCCTTCGACCCCTGCACAGCTGGAAACTCCTGCAGAGCGGGGGCCGTCATTACAATACCTACAGTGGTACCTGTACTAGCGTGTATCTTCATACTCTACACAAGTGGAAGATATACACACAGGTACTGATAGACAAAACAGGACCTCGTCATGTTCGATAAAGCCCCCCTTTGGTTGTCGCAGTGCTATCGTCAATAATAAGGAACAGGCAAGACAGGAAATGCGCGGGAATGCACTCGTCGCTGTCCGAACTCAAAAAAGTAGTAATTGAACACCTCTCAAGACACAAACTCAGATCGACGTTGAGACAGGGCCACACGAGCCATCAATCTCGAAGAAACAAACATGGTTTGCCCATCAATATTCTGACATCAGGAAACAAGTGTCCGAGAACGGCTCGAACAAGCCCGCCTTCGCCGGCACAGCCACTGGGCACGGGGCCTGAGAAACCCGAGTTCTCCGTAGCCCGGCCGTTCGGTCGTTGTTCTTTTTCCCCTTTCTGCCTCACATTCTGGCTCCTTGGACGTCGAAGCAAGGTCTTTGTCCTGATTTCTTCTTTCCTCTTGGCTCCTCCGCCGCCGCATAATTTTGAGGAGGAGCATGCTATACACCATGTACTCCGTAGTGTCGAGCCCATTTTAGACCCAATAAAATCTTCATCCGACGTGCATACAGCATCACCCCGGCACCTCACCAGTAACCCGAAAGCGACACCCCTGACCAGTTCAGTTAGCGATTCCACAAGGGCTTCCATAAGGAGGAAGATGGGGCGGGACGGTTCCTCATTTCCATACGCAGGCCTTTTCGATTGCTCACTCTTCCCAGAAGAGGCCGCTCCTCATATCGCGCCATCCGATATTTCTAGATAGATAGACATTGGGCTGCCTCTCTCCATAAAAAGTACGCAACGCAATCGCGTTTGGGGGTTAATCAACCACGGTTCACCTGGGGCCATTGACAACTCATCAACAGGGCTACGATGATCGTAACCCATCAAATGATCAGACCCGCGGAACGGCTGCAGGCGTGATGTACAGCACAGATAACCACCAGCCGATCCGTGACGTCGTACCGCGAACCGTCGCTCACACCGTCGCCAACACCGTTGAGACGGCCTGGCTCCATCCCGGGGGCCCAAAGCCGCCACGTCTTCCCGGATCTCCCCCCCCAGAACATTAGGTCCTCTTCTGATTCTGCAACGCCAGCCCAAAACATGTAATGAGGTCACTACTGTCCGCCGTTCATGAATCAGGATTCCCACCCAACCTGACAGACGGGAAACATCAATCGCAACGGCCGTTGCACTACGCCAAATGTTTGATCATGCCATACCTATGCAACCACTCCGAGAAATACGTATCTGCAAAACAGAAAAGGGAGAGAGAGAAAAAAACAGAAACAAAACCGGTCTGAACGTTACCTTGCGCCACACAACCACACAATCACAGACTATGCACAAAAACCCTGCCATGTGATGCATCTAGCTTCGTCCATTGGTGTATCCCACCAACAAGCAAACCTTATAGATGGAGACGGCAAACAAGAAGGAAGAGAAAAAAAAACACACACACACACACACACACACACTTCTATGCAATCTCTGGAGACGTGACGTGAAAGGGATATTCACCCCTCTACTCTGGACCCCATGTCCCACCACCCCTTTCTTTCAGGAGCAGTGGTTAGTTACCCTCAGGCCTGGGATGAACCTCTCATCCCCCCCCCCCCCCCCCATATTCTGCGCCAAGCGGGCTGCCGAGAAACCCATCGCGGCGCGGCACGGAAGGGGGTGGAATTTTTCTTTATGGGAAAAAAAAGCAAGGCGGCGGACGCGGGTCCCGGGAGTTTATATTTGCCCTTGCTATTACTCAATTTCTTTCCTTTTGCGTGCTCTTTCTCTAAATCTTTTTTTTTTTTTTTTGGCCGGAAGGTTCCTGACTGTGGATGCTTAGAATTGTTTTTTCATTTGGTATAGACAAGGGACTCCTAGCCTAGATACCCGAGTTATACCGTACCGTCATCGACTCTACAGTCAGTCATCGGTCCTAGGGTTAGTTACTACAGGGCAAACTTGAGTGAAATGTGCTAGACAGAAACTGCGCATGTCCAAAGATACCAGCAGGATAAAAATCAGTTATAAGCTTCAGTAGCAGGAGAAAAGTGCCCTCGACGCAAATCCATTACTTGGATGAGAAATGAATAAACAACAGACGACAAACACTCCCATTCATCTCATGGGGGGGGTGATGTGCGTTCACATGTAAGCTGATCGGCCAACGTTAAGAAAAAAAACAAGACTTTTGTTTCAGTGCTGCGCCGTAGGTTCTCATGCGCAGCAGCACGCAGATCATAGGATTAAAATAAAATAAAATAGGCTAGATGGAGACAGACGGTATCATCTGGTCTCGTCTGTCACCATCTGGCCTAACTTCGCACCTGCGAATGTTCAGGCTGCTATTCAGGTATCAGAATCTCAAATTCATAGTCCAGATTAAGACCTGGAACTTTTGACTTATCTATTCCAGTTTAGATACCAAAAAGAAAGAAAAAAAGTCATCTTACAACTTTACTACAGCAGTACACGTCCGGTCCGGGGACGAAAACCACAAATACACGTGAAGCATGGGGGGGGGGGGGGGGGGGGGAACACCCCAAAAAAGCCAGTGCATGCATTTCAAGCTCCCGCGACCACGGCAAGCCCGTCGTAAATCATCCTCTTGACCTCGTAAAAGGTGCTCCGGTGTTGCATCATCGTCGCCGCGTCCGCGATGCCCACGCTTTCCACTTCCACCTTGCCCGTGTTCGTCTTCCTGACCGCCACGGCGCCGTTGATGACGAGCGTACCCTCGCCCCGGAACTCGGCCGTGTATCCCGCCGACTGCATCGCCCGCCTCAGGTCCGTGAGCCTCAAGTCGCCAACGTGCAGCGGCTGGGCCACCGATCGCACCGCCGACGCCATGTTGGTTGGCAGCAGGTCTAGAGCCGGGATGATTTCGACCTCGGCGTCCTCTTCTTTCTTCTCCTCCTTGTCTTCCTCCTTGACACCCTCGCCATCTTCTGTCTCCGCCTCCGTCTTCTGCCGCTTGTTGGCACCGTCGTCCTTCTCTGTGATCTTGTCCTTGGCCAGAGCCTCCGCCACAAGCTGGCCGGTAATTGTCACGATGCTGAGACCGCGTACGTTTTGCCACTTGAGCTTCTTGACTAGGTTGTCTGTGAGTTTAACCACCCAGGCGTTCGTGTCGACGCTAGCATCCACCCAGGTGCCCATCGACGGGGTATAGACGTCGAGAGCGCTTTCTTCCGAAGTTCCGATCTGTGCCGCGAGCAACTTTTTGCAGTCTGCCGCGAGGGTAGTCGTTTCCTCCTGAGTGCCGCCGACTAGGATCAGCTTTCTAGGCTGAATCAGGGGTATCAGCATGTTCAAACTCCTCTTGTCGTGGAGTCCGCTGAAGTCGACGTAGCCAATGCGCAGGTTGACCATGACTTTGTCCGTTGAAACGATTAGCTTGGAGGGGCCCTGAATCTCCTCTTCGAGGGTATCCTCCACATCGTCGAGCTCGTCAAGGATAGGGTCCTCTGCCGCTGTACCGTCCTGGTCGTCTCCTGAGGCGTTTGCGTTCTGACGTTTGTTGGCACCCTTGGAGCTGCCGTCGTCCCACTTGCGCTTCTTTCCCAGCCGGTTGTCGTCGTCGTCTCCGTGTACGTTGGTATCTGGTGCATCATCTTCCTTTTCTTCCGCTCTGAGGTAGTCCTCAGGCCGGATGATATCTCCAAACTGATCGTCACGCCGCCGCCGCATGACCAAGGGGAAGGACCGTTCACGGCCCTTTTTGCCTCTCACATCAAAGTCGTAGGCGCCACGCTTCTTGGTGAGAATGTTGATACCCAGGTCCTCATCTGTGAGGACAACCTTCTTGCGCGTGGCCTGGCCCATTGTTGCCGAGATATTGAGGGCTTTTCCTTGTTGTTCGTTGTCGGATTCGCCCGAGTCGGATGATGACTCTGATGAAACGTCGTCGGCTGCATCGGCTGGTGCTTGTAAAGAGGCTCCGCCGCCGCTTTGCAGTGTCGCCTGTAATTGACGTTGCGTAGCCAGCCATTGCTGGTATATGGTGAGTTCGTCTCCCTCCAGTGCCTGTCGCTTGGCTTCCTGAATGTCCAATTCCCGGCCACCACCGTATACAAGCTCGATGCTGTCGCCGCTGCTCGATTGCTCAACCGCGACACCATCTCGCCTTTCCGTCCACCAGTCCCACAGCGTCCTCGCTATTGAAGGCTGCTCCGCGCAAGATCTCGGCGGCTTATCCGTCAAAATCACTAGGTTCCTGGAGTCCTTTGCGAGACCGCGGATAAGGTCTTTCGAGAAACCCCATTCCAACGTGTCATCGCTCGCCAGAATTACTCTGCCTTCCGACTGGACGTTTTCGCCGCTATTGGACAGCAGCTTCTCGATCTGGGCCCGGCGCTCAACCAGCTTGAGATACCTAAAATCAAAGGGGACGGCCTCCTTGGTCTTTCCGTCTGCGCCGTTCGCTTTACGTTGTCCGTCGGCAACTGATTCGAATTCCCTGACGATGTTGTCGTCCATCCACTCCAGCATGCTCCGTGCGTATCGTAATGTGCTAGACATGTTCCGTCCAGCAAGGTAGAGCTTGGCGGCCTTTAAGCTGCTGTCGTCTGCCTCTGAGTCCATCTGCCATGCGTGCTCGAGTAGATAGGCAATCTCGAGGACACGCGCGCTTGAATCGACCGGAATAAGAGCAGTGCCTCCCCTGCTGACGCACAATCTGATCATGTCAACCAGCTGCTCGTCGCGCTTGGCACGACCACCCGCCTGAGCGACCTTCTCTGCACCGCGACTGCTACACACCAGAGCGGTCGGTTTCCGAAGTTGCTCAATGACCTCCGCACCGCCACCTCCAGCACCTCCTAGCCAAGCAGCTCCTGCGTACACATTTTCTCTCGCCTGGTTCCAGTCCACTGCGTAGACGATGGATTCCAGACCATGCTGGATGTGCCATATCGTTCCTCCCAGACTGTGGCCTGCGTTGTAGGCCGTGATCATCAAGCCATTGAGGGGAGGGGAAAAGGGCGAAGGAAGCGGCTCGTGAGGTTGCGAGTACTTGAGTGGCTGGATCAGGGAGAAGTATCGAGTGATTTCTTCGGGAGTTGGTGCTTGTAAAAGGAAGTCGCTATCAGCGTTAGGTTGTTGAGAGTACGAATAGGCAGCCTCGCTGAGGGAGCCATGGGGGATCTTGGTGGCGGCTAAAGGTGTCGAGGCATAGAGATCTTGGGTCAAAGTGCGGCCCAGGTCGATGACGGGTCGGGTCGCATAGACGGGGATTCGCGTGAATAAAGGAAAGTTCTTGCAGCAATGGGCAAAGGCAGCCAAATGTGACGTCGTGGCGTGGGTGAGCAGGATGAGGGACAGCGTCGGAACCTGTCTGTCGGAGGTGTTAGTCAAGTAGCTCCGTCGTCGCCCAGGGAGGGAGGGAAGAATACTTTTCAAGCTCCCGCAGTTTCTCAACGTCAAACGATTCATCCCATCCCAAGTCAACCAGGATCTTGACGCCTCCGTCGAGCTCTAGAATCGATTGCGACGCCGAAGACTCGGACAGGGCGCCCTGAAGCGGGCAAAAGGTAAACATGGTTGCTGTCTATAGCGAAAGGTCGCGATGCATCGTCCGAATGCCCTCCAATCAAGACCTTATCCACGATAAAATCAGCTCAAGATATCGTCGTGACTGCGATAACCATGGCGCTAGCGCAGCAACCAGGAAGAGCAGGCGTTTGTAGAGATCGTGAGCCTCGAGGCTATGGTTGTCGCGTAAAAGAATCCAGGATTCAAAGCCAGGACAAGCTACTGCAGCACGGTACGTACCGACGAATAATTCAGGCACGGGATTGGTAGTGGGGAGAGCAGGGGCCAACTGAGAGCTCCTCCCGATGCACTGTAGTGTGCTTCGTACGTAGTAGTCGTAGTAGCAGTAACAGACACACTGAGAAGGAGGTCCCGTCATAATGGGTCCCCACCTCCCCGTTTGAGATCGGAGCGGCGTAGGATTTTTCCTTGACTCAAAATGGTTTAGACTCGCCAATCGGCTTGGGTGGGGCATATTACGGAGCCACGTACCAGGTACGTACTCCTAAATAGGTCCAACGGCAGCCATTTAGAGCTCTCCAATGGAAAGAAAAGCAGCCCACCTTTCGGTCTGGAAAAACGCATCGGAAAGTTATCGTGTCAATTTGGCCCGGACCCCTGTCGATTCGGCGGTCGACCCGTATGTTGCTCGAAAGGGGACACAATTCAAGCTGTCACTTACTTTTTGGACAAAAGTCGGCTGGTCCTTGAAAAGACGACAGCAATCCCTTCAGCTTCGACCGTAGTAATGGCGCACTCTTAATTGCGTGCGCACATTTATACAGAATTTCCTACCAATCTTTATCTCGATACCTGACGCCCTTGGCGCACATAAGCTACAGCTACGTCTTATTCCTTTGGTAGCTACCCGCAATTAATTCGAATACCCCCCCCGACTATCGAGCACACCTATACCTCTCTCTCTAGAGATCACGCAACTCCCGAGCAGCCGATTACACCAAAACGGCCTGCAAACATGTCCGACTTCAACGTGTATCATCAGCTGGGACAGGGAGAGCAGGATCCCTCAAACCCGAACCGATCAACCCAACCCGCACCCCCTCAGTTCTCTCCTCCCATCGCGGGGCAGCAATACCAGCAAGGAGCTGCATACGGATCCCCTCCCCCTCCAGGACAGCAATACTATGGCGGTCAACCGCCCAATCCTGGCTCCGTGCCGTCTCAGGGCTCGCCTTACGGTGCTCCTCAAGGTCAACCATATGCGCAAAGCCCTGGTTTCCAGTCTCAGGACAGCTTAGCGGCGCAAATGGGCGGGATGTCCCTGGGTGCTGGAGATGGTCACAACACCATCAGGAAGAAGAAGAAGGATCGTCATGCCTACCACCAGGTCGAGGCGACAGGTTCCTCGCAAGCCTTTAATGGCATTCCTCCCGCCGGTACTCCTGCGACTTCTTTCCTCAACGCCGATCCTATGCAGGCCCAGTACTTTAACCCTCAAGTTACCCCTGCCATGAACCAGTTCCCCGCTGCTGCTGGCCAGACCTTTACGCCCGGCGCTCCCGTCTCTCCCGCCGAATTTGCGACCCGAAACGGTGCCGATGCTGGTGGGCCCCCCGCTGTCGTACAGACCGGCGGACACCAGAAGCTCTCTCTCGATGATTTACCGAGCGTCCCCGTCTCTCGTGATTCCCTCCAACAGCACTACTTCACGAACGTTTATCCTACTTTCGAGAAACACTTGCCTCCTCCTGCGACTGTTTCCTACGTTGCCTACGACCAGGGCAATGCCTCGCCCAAGTATGCGCGTTTGACATTGAATAGCATTCCGGCGAGTGCTGAGGGCCTCGCTCTCACAGGTCTTCCCATGGGCCTGCTCCTGCAGCCGCTGGCTCCTCTGCAACCTGGCGAGCTCGAGATCCCCATCCTCGACTTTGGCGAGTCCGGCCCCCCCAGATGCCGCCGGTGCAGAGCCTATATCAACCCGTTCATGATGTTCCGGTCCGGCGGAAACAAGTTCGTTTGCAACCTGTGCACATATCCCAATGATACCCCCTCCGAATACTTCTCTGCTCTCAGTCCCCAGGGTGTAAGAGTCGACCGCGACCAGCGTCCTGAGCTTACCAGGGGTACCGTGGAGTTCGTTGTGCCCAAGGAGTACTGGACCAAGGAGCCCACTGGCCTGCACTGGCTGTTTGTGATTGATGTCACCCAGGAGTCTTTTAACAAGGGCTTTATCGAGTCGTTCTGTGAGGGTATCCTTGCTGCTCTCTACGGTGGTGAGGACGCTGAGAGGGACGAGAATGGCGAGCCCAAGCGCACAATACCTGCAGGGGCCAAGGTTGGTTTTGTGACTTACGACAAGGACATTCACTTTTACAACGTCAACGTAAGTTGCTCACTCACGAGTCAACATGTGCTGGTGACTGACGTACGTAGTCTTCTCTGGACCAAGCTCAGATGATGATCATGCCTGACCTTGAGGACCCCTTCGTTCCTCTGAGCGACGGCCTCTTTGTCGACCCTTATGAGTCCAAGTAAGATCCATACTCTCAAGTCTGTAGTGATTTAACTAACCTACTCAGGGACGTCATCACTTCCCTGCTTACGATGCTGCCTACCATGTTCTCAAACATCAAGAACCCAGAACCCGCCCTCCTCGCTGCTCTTAACTCGGCCGTTTCTGCGCTGGAGAAGACTGGTGGAAAGATTGTCTGCTCTCTGGCCGCCCTGCCTACCTGGGGCCCTGGTCGTCTGTTCCTCAGGGATGATGGCAAGCACCCCGGTGGTGAAATTGACAAGAAGCTCTTCTCCACTGAACACCCGGCATGGAAGAAGCTTGTCGAGAAGATGGTTTCTACCGGCATCGGCTCCGACTTTTTCCTCGCCTCCCCATCTGGCGGTTACCTCGACATCGCTACTGTTGGCCACGTCGCTGCCTCAACAGGCGGTGAGACGTTCTACTACCCCAACTTCATTGGCGCGCGGGATAACACCAAGCTGTCTATGGAGATCAAGCATGCAGTCACCCGTGAGACTGGTTTCCAGGCTCTGATGAAGGTGCGGTGCTCGAATGGACTTCAGATCAACGGCTATCATGGAAACTTTATCCACCATACATTTGGCGCTGACCTCGAGATCGGAGTCATCGACGCGGATAAGGCCATGGGTGTCACTTTCTCGTACGATGGCAAGTTGGACTCCAAGCTTGACGCGCACTTCCAATCTGCTCTGCTGTACACCACGGCATCTGGCCAGCGTAGAGTGCGCTGCTCCAACGTCATTGCCAGCGTTTGCGACAACCCGAGGGACTCTGTTAAGTTCATTGACCAGGACGCCGTGGTCGCCATCCTCGCCAAGGAGGCAAGCACAAAACTGGCCACGACCTCTGCGACTCTGAAGGATGTCCGCAACCATCTGACCGAGAGGACAATTGATATCCTGTCATGCTACCGCAAGAACTTCCTCACCGCAGCTCAACCCGATGGTCAGCTTGTCATGCCCGAGAGACTGAAGGAGTTTTCGATGTACATGCTTGGCCTCATCAAGTGCCGTGCCTTCAAGGGCGGCAATGAGAGCTCCGACCGCAGGGTGCACGAGATGCGCATGATCCGCTCAATGGGCGCCATGGAGCTCAGTCTGTACCTATACCCGCGTATGATCCCCGTCCACAACCTCGCCCCCGAAGATGGCTTTCCGGACGAGTCGGGTCACCTCAAGGTGCCCCCGTCGATCCGTACCTCATTCTCCCGCGTCGAGCCCGGCGGCGTCTACCTCGTCGACAACGGCCAGCAGTGTCTGCTCTGGTTCCACGCACAAACGTCGCCGAACCTCATTGCCGACCTCTTCGGCGAGGACAAGACCACCCTGCAGAGCCTCGACGCCTACACGTCGTCGCTGCCTATTCTTCAGACGCACCTCAACGCCCAAGTGCGTAACATTGTCGAGTTCTTCAAGACGATGCGCGGATCCAAGGGTCTGGGTATCCAGCTGGCAAGGCAAGGCATCGATGGTGCTGAATACGAGTTTGCCCGTATGCTGGTCGAAGACAGGAACAACGAGGCACAGAGTTATGTCGACTGGCTTGTGCACCTCCATAGGAGCGTCCAGCTCGAGGTAAGACCCCCTTGCTCTTTTATGTAAGTGACGAAAAAACACCCTTGACTAACATGATGCAGTTGTCCGGCCAGAGGAAGAAGGACGATCCATTGACGGATGCCAACGCTCTAGCAGGCTTTGCCGGCTTGAGGCCTAATTATTGGTAAGCGAAGCAGATAAGGAGAAGGGGTGTTGGTGGGGGAAAAGGGTGGGTGTGAACTTTTGATGTTTTGAGCGTTTTCAGAACTGCATACACATTGGGTGTCAAGGGAATCGAAAAAGAAAATCAATAGCAATGGAATACCTCTAGCATATGCTGAGCATTTTACTTTTCTCTGTCGTGTTACGTTAGACTCGCACGTACCGAAGTCGAGTCAGCGGTTCCTTGGACTTGGATGTCCATTTGACGACATGTAGAAGTATGTCTTGGAGAGGCTATCCGAACAAGCCAATCAGACTGCCTACATGTATGGAGGGTACCGGAAATACCTCCGGTTGCTGCTTACTAGCACATCTCAGCCTCGCCGTAGACTAACACCATATCTCTCTCTCTCTCTGTGTCAGGGCGGCAATTCGCCCTCATCGACGTCCCAGACCATCGCTTGTCTCATAATCTAGATTCCACACACATACACACATACGCATACACTCACGACTGCTGATACGAAGTTTGGTTGATGAGCGATGAGCCCTGAGTCTTGACTCAAATATACCGCTATTAATCTGTATGCGAGAGGTGACAGACGAACCGGGAATGATGCTCAAGATCCGCGGGGAACCCTTACCCAGACATCATCCCCAATGGGATAATGAAGACAACTCTACTCTACAGTTTTCTTTCTCTCCATGTGATATGCCCTTGTATGTCACTATTTCCCTGCAACTAGCATTGTTGTCAAGAAAGCTTTCATGTCCGACATGCACGACATCGACTCTTGGCTTGACGCCAAAGTCCACAGGGTTGAGGCGTTTCCAAAAGAAAACAAGCCAAGCCGAGCCGAACTACGAATCCCAACATTTCATCTGCCCAGGCAGCGAACGGCCTCGCCCACTGCTTCACCCGGTCACCACTATGCCCTAGACTTCCACGGACGGCATGATTAATCGAGAGACATTGATCTCTTGACATTATTAACCGCAGGTCCCCTCGGGGCTCGCAAGGGCGGGCAGAATTATTCGTTGAGCGACGTGCGCTAGACCGTCATCTCGTCGTCATATGACCAAAAGAAGTAGAAGCAGAGCGCTCCCTTTCGCGCTTCGTGTTCTGAACTGGCTGAAGCCCAATCGAGCAAAAAGCCGTAAAAAAAAGTTTGATCAAGTGAAATGTGATATCCGAGATGTATGATATCTGATATATGACCGTTCGATTTTCGAGGCTAAACCCAACTGGACGGGCCTAGCGTAATGGTCGACTGCAAGACATCACATACACACACAAACACACACACATCGGCAACGATGAAAGTGGAAAGGCGGCGGTTTCCGGGAGAGACCGGCAGAGACTGAGACTCTTGATCGGTACAGACAAACAGGAACGGGGACACTACCGTTTGCCAAGCTTTACACTACTTGGGCAAGATGGGGTCTGGGTTATGGAATTTTGATGTCCCTCCGTCGGCATGCCTCTGTATGAGACAATCTTGGGCTTGGGCTGGGCGTACAGGAGAAACACCGCCGGCGTTCTTCCCCGTGCCCCTCCCTCCCCTACCCATCTCCTCTCTCTCTGTCCATTGTTGTGTTTGTACCTCTGATGACTCTTTCTTTTCCGTCTCTCTTTGGATCTGGAGGACAGAGAGGAGAGGATGTAGCTCCGCTAACAACCGCCGTTGCTGGATGGACGGACGGGTATAACGAAGCGAGCGGACGAGTGGTCATCCTTTAACCCAGAAACAGTGACACATGCAGCCTGCCGCGGCCCTCCCCGCAACACAAGGCGCCTCCATTCCTCGCCCGCGAAAGGAAAGGCAACATGAACCGGGGTCAGGGGTGGCGAAGGCGGACGATCTGGAAGGCGGCTGATATGAGATGATCGACGATGCTGCGTTAGGGGCAGGGCAGCCAGCCTTCCCGTCGGGTTTGCGTAAGTTATGACCGGCAAGTAGCTAGTATGGGGGTGGGAGGGTCACTGCTGGTGCTGCTGCGGGTAGTATAAAGAGACGGGAGTGGAGGGGAGTGCGTGATGTGATTCCTGATGGAGATCTCTGCGTTTGCTTTTCGCCAGCGAGGGGTCTTGCTTCCCTACGAGGCTTTTATTTTGCGTTTGTGTCTCAACCAGCTGGAACCTCTCATCGTAGGGCGGATCTACATCCCGGACCAGGGGAATCGACTGATTTCGGTGACTCCAACATACCAAAGGAGGAAACTCTCCCACGGCAGGGCGTCGTGTTATGTGCGAAACCCAAATAGAAAGACAAAAAAGAGATGTGCCCTCGTTCATACGGGGAGGGCGGTGAAAGGCGAAGGAGGACCGTTTCCCGCCTCGAGATACCCGTCTGGGTGTTCTCCAGATTAAAGATTCCCGCTTTAGCGTCAAGCTCATACAAGTTGCGGCGAGACAAACCCGCAGCCTGCCGTGTTGGTCCTATATCGCCATATGTCGGGTACCGTTACACCCTGTCCATCAACCCCCCCCGCACAATCCAACAGAGGTGGCGGTCAGCCCGTGCCATTATACTGTTTTTTTTTTTTTTTTTTTGGGAAAGCCTCACATGGAACGGACCGTGTCGAATCTCTGTCATGGCAGCCGAGTGGAATAGCCGGGGATCGTGGACTCTCGGAATTGCCAGGAGTAGCCCCCAAACAGGAAACAAAATCATGGGTAGAGGTAAAAGCAATATCCAACCTCTAGAAACGCTTTAAACCTCACATCCCTCCTCCAAAAGGACACACCATGGGAGATGCCCCACTATGGCTCCCTGAGAGACAGTCCTCGCGAAGTGTCTCAGGCATCTTCACGCGCTCTTCTTGTGGGAGTGTGTGTATATATCGTCTTCTGGTGTAACCGACCACAACCAGGAATGAGAAGGGAGTTGACTCAGCGATGCCCGCGTCAGAGAGATGATTGGCCGACCGAAGCAAGGGCCTGCAGGAGGATGCGTGCTCCGATGGGCGGCGTCCTCTCCGGTTCCGCGTGGTCGGGCTCAAGTGGCGCCAGCCCATTCCAGGGGTTGGAAGTGAGTTGTTCCCTGTTTCCACTACGATCCGCCCTTTTCTGTGTGTATGTATGTATGTGTGTGTGTGTGCTCTGTTCCTCTTTTTTGATTTTGTGATTTCAAACCCGAGATCCGGTCGTAAATCTCTTCTTCTTTGCTTCTTGAAGCTTGGAAAAGGGCGGGACGTAACCCTCGATAAACCCTTCGGGTTTCCCGCTCCTAAAGGCCGTAAGCGAGACTTCCGTGTCTCGGCCGTAATTGTCCGTCACACGGGTGCAGCAGTCAGACTTCTGGGCCGAAGCAAACTTGATAACTGACGGAATTCCAAGGTCGGACGTCTCTCTCCTCGGCGTTTACCTAGCCCTGCCCCGGTTTTCCCATTTGGTGTTGCTGGAGTGGGGGAGGAGGACGAGGACGAGGACGAGGACGAGGAGGAGGCGTCGTGTGGGCAGGGGAGAAGACGCAGTGATACCTGATCATCGAGATGATCGTCAAACCCCCGGCAAGATCTGACCGACATGGGAGGTTTTGATGTGGGTTAATTGTTTGGAAATGGGTTAATTTCGTTCGCTATTTGGGTAACTGAACTCTTTTTGTATCGTGTTGTCCCACGGTACAATGACGAAGACACCAGAAGAGCATTGTTCGCGTCTAAGGGCCATGTCAGCTCCCGAAAAAGCAACCATGAAAACACTCGACAGCCGTCCAGCAGAGATTGACCCTGTCGAAGATCCCCTCATGACCTTCAAGCCATCATGGCCCATCATTCCATACCGGAGCACTTTACCGTCGCTTATTATTACCAAACGTTGACGAGGAGAGTTGGGAGGATAGTAAAAGACTCATACAAACCTTGATTCTCCCTTGGAAGCAGTTGCCCTTGTTTAGGCATTCTACTCTAATACTTGCCTGCTGTCTTCTAACAAGGCAACTGTTATTTGCTTTTTCCATCTGTAGACGCACTGTAGCACGTGTTGACGTTCTTTCGGCAGTAGGACATGGTTAATACGAATCGATTGATGCAGACCGATCTGCTGCACCCTCTACTGCCGTTCATGCGTTTGTTCCCTGGGTCTGCCGTTGACGCTAGGGTGCTTTCGATGAGAGGCTGAAGAGCCGAACCTGAAGCCCCGTTAGCCAACGTGTAATTGCCGAGCGAGGCTGCTACTGAGGCGTTCTTCAAACCATATGGTGGCCTGATTATCTGTGTAAGAGTCGCATGTTCAGCCACCTCGTCCGTTTATTTGGGTCGTGAGCAAACTATTGTCACGATGAGGCTGGTTTTTTTTAACCCTTGTAGGAGAAAAGTTCTCATCAAGAGCGCCTATGGCGGATGTTCAGTTTGGTGTCAATGGATTTGAAATATCATTGACGAGAATGAGGCGGACTAACAGGGCACACACACACACACACACCCACACACGTCCACGCACACCCCTACCCTGGGACACATGCCGGCAAGCTTGAGGAACGATGTTTGTCCCCTTGCGTCCGCTACCCCTGTTGCATGCCCCAAAGAAGGCGCTCGTGGAAAGAGGAAAGTTTATGGAATGCTCGAAAAATGTGTCCGAATTGAGACTGCGAAGGGGAATAGCTTTAAAGAAGAATAAAAACACCAAAAACGCCGCTCAACAAGATCCGTCCCCAAGAACACCAGCCAATTACATAGATCCCTGAATAGATAGTTTCCATTCCCCTCCGCAGCCAGTCCAAAGAAAACGCCATTGGCCGCGAAGCTCTACCCGTAAGCGATGTCCACCAGGGTATAAACCAAAAGCTCTCCTTGAAGATTTGAGAAGCAAAGAGAAGAAAGCCCAAGATGGTAACCCGTGACCTTGCCGCCCCCCCCCCAACAGACAGGGCCGGGATATGTTGTTGACGCCCGACGTTGCAGATCTGGGCCCCTCGAGATCGCAAGGAGCCTCATCCCAGTGTGTGTAGGGGGTGGGACAAGACGGGAAAAAAGAAAGGAGCGCAGGCCGCTAGACTGGAAAGCTGACCAAATGATGCAGACATCGCACTCCCTACCTGGTGATTAGAGGCCAATAGGAAGATCCAGACAGGGAAAGCGGCTGTACGATGGCGTGCGAGTGCATGGGCTGGAGAGACACAACCACCTCTTGTTTTTTTTTTTTTTCCCTCCTTTCCTAACCTTTCTCATGTGCGGCGCATCGTGTCGACATGACAGGCTGGATGGGTTCAAAGACAAGTTAAAAAAAAATCTATCCTCCTAGGGTATGCCGCATACGCCCGCTTGACGTACGTCCCGGTCTCACCGGTCGATGTTGAGAGAGAGCGCCCCCCCAAAAGAACTGAGACAAATAGCCCGTCAATGATGCGCCAAGAACGTGTCGGTCAAGAACCATCCATGATTGCAGAGAAGGCATAGCGCGGATCGGGTTGGCTGCGCACTCTGGCGATCTCATTGGGAGCGAAGATGTCACTGAAGATTTTGAAGTCGCTCTTGTGACTCGATGAGCCGCTCCCGGAACTCGACGATGACGAAGATGATGATGAACTGCTTTTCGACTTGCTTTTCGACGAACTGCTGCTGCTTCCCTTGGTCTTCTTGGCAATGTCGTCGAGGATACACTTGGATGTACATTGCCTGTCGTCCTCAAAGGCAAACATGACGGCGAGGAACTGGCCCCTTAGCTCTGGGTCGTAGAGGAAGACCTCGCGCCACAGCTCCGCCAGCTCCTTGGGCGGGTTGCGGTATCCGTTGCCGAGACCGAAATCGCCAATGACGACGTGGTTGTACCCGTTGAAGACGCAGATTCGCAGGGCGGCTCTCATCTTGTTCCTGACCAGCTCGCGTTCCTCTGTGAATGAGTATTTTCTCCCCATGTCGGTGAGTTTCGGCCACCGCGCTGGCGGCATCGAAATGACTGGCAGGGATCTCCAATCCTTCATTTCCAACGACTCAATCCTGTCTTGAAACTGGCGGAACCGCACTTGAAGGCAAATAAGTTAGCGTCTGCAATGGAAGGGATCGATCAAGGAGTAGTTGACACCAAAAAAAAATAAAAGAAAAATAAAAATTACTTACCCACGTCAGGTGAGTATATAGCTCCCTCGATTGGTATGGGGTAGTTCGATGACATGTAGGTTTCCGGATGTGGGGTGCCCAGGGTTGCCGACAGATTGCTTCGACGACATAGCCTCTCCTGCGCGCCGTACCGAATCAACGTTTTTGTCGCCCGCTAGAAGGGGTCTCAGTGCAAGTCATACCTCGTATCCAACGACACCCGTCTCCCAATCTCCTCCGGGGCGCTTCTCATTCGCGGCGCAGATGAAGGGAATGCGGACCCCTTCACTCTGAGCCCAACCAATGGCGCAATCGACAGGGTCTCCGTGAACGACATCTGTAGGCATCAGCTCGCGTTCTGCCTCACTTTAGGGCTCGGGCCTCAGGAAACGGCTTACAAAACTTGGGAAGGTCTGAACTCATAAAGTTTGGACGGTTAAGGGGAAGTTGCAGTAACGGCTGTGAATAGAGAACAGAGTAAGGAGGCCATTCATCGCGGAAGTGTTTGTTGACCTCGGGGATGAGCTTCTTCTTGGTGTCGGCCGCAACCTCTGAAGGCTTTATCTTTAGAGGTTTCGAAGAAGGCATCTTGGACTCGGAGGAGTGGTCCTGGAAACGCACACAGAGGGGGCTGAAGGACAAGTATGCGTTTGGGCTGCTGCTGCTTCTGCTGCTGCTTCTCGTAGGAACATGAAGGTGAAGAGACTGTGGGAACGGGGGAGGGGGGAGGGAGGGAGGGACCAAGAGAGGCGTGATATGGGTTCTTTGGGCGACTTTAAATATCTCCCTCGCAATGAAGAGTAGTCTAGCGTCAACGACGACCAACCTGCGTCGAGCAGCGACATAGAAGGGGAAAAGGGAAAAAGAAACAATGCGCATAGCTCTCTGTAGATGGCCCTTTGCAGAGAGAAGCTGGTTCACCTTTTTTTTCCTTGAGCAAGCGAGAGCGGTGAAGGATGAAGGAGGGGAGTGTAACCAATACTTGCCGGATCTCAGTCAAGTCTGCGACATTCCAGGGTAGTGTATAGGAAGGGCGCGCAGAGAGTGGGTGGGTTCGCGGGTGGTCGTGATGAGATGTGTCTTGCTTATACAGAAACCCGGGTGGTGCTACATCGAGCCTCCCGTGGTCTTGGTTGGTGGAATCCGATCGAGATACTACTGCAATCTACCGCAGTTATACGAGATCTTTCTGTCTCCCAAGATCTCACTTGAGGCGTCATTGCTAGCCGGGGTTTGGAAGTAAGTTATTGGGAGGGGGGACAATGGGAACAACCCGGGGAGGATCTTGGGAGAAAGGGAAACACGGGAGCCATGGGACGGGAGCTAAGCCAACGTAGGGGATCTACGGCAGGAAGAAAAGCAGGGTCGTCGAAAGAGCACGGCGAGGGAGAGGCGGGTGCGAGGCCCAACCATGTTGTTTGTAACAATAAGCAACAAGATGGACCTGGAAGAAGCAAAAAAACCCAGCTTCATGGTTCTTTGACCCCCACTAGGGGAGCCGCTCTGCCAGGGGTAGGACGCAATGAAGAAAAAGGCGAAGAAGAGTGTGAGGCGGCGAGGTAGTGAGCCAAGACGAGAAGAACAACAGTGCGGCTCCCCTCCCCCCTTACCCAAATTCGGATGGTTACCCATTTCGGGAGCATGTTTCCCTTGACGAATATGCAGCCATTGATTCTGCAATTTGACAATCTTTGTCACGTTCCATCCAGTGCTGCGCGAGGGCTGATTTTCAATAAATCTAAGAGAGGAGGGGGGTGGCGCGGACGTCAAGTTGAGATGTGAGGACAAGATTGGGGCCCCAGAATATGCCCTGATCCCAAAACCATGTCCCAGGATTGCGAATCAAATGCTGCATTATCCCGGAGTCGTCACCCGTAGCCGGTGTTTGGTGTCTCGGGAGTTGAGGCCTTGGTGAGTTGAGCTTGCGGAGGACCGAAACCGCACCCACTTCGACCCGGGTCCCTGCGGCGGAACCTCGATCGGCAAACTCGGGGAGCCCGTGTATGCTATTGATTATGGTCAGACTTTGTTCATGTTATTGGCTTTTTTTTTTTTTTTTTGGTCCTTATGTTAGAAGGGAGAGCTAAAGGTCCGAAGCTGGAGGATTGTGTTATGAAAGGAAAAGAAGCAACAAATATCGTTAAAGACAAACAAAATGGTTGAATAGGTGAGATGCGGTACGTACCGATCAACAATGTGTTGCCGCTCTCTCATCTTATCTTATCATATCTTATCATAGATAGCATTCTTTCCTTATCTAAAGTGACTCAGGTTAGGAAGGCAGGTCCCACTAGGTCGCATTGGAGCTTCCCATTGGAAGCAGGAAACATTAGCAGCTGTTTTTTTGACCATCGTCGCATGTCATCGCAAACTTCCTTCGTCCCTTCCATCGCCAACAACAATACGGCTCCTCTCAGCAGATAACCGATACCACGACCACCCGATTTTAACGTATTTGTTTCGATCATGAAATAGCCAAGTCCGGTTCCATCTCTCCCCATAATGAGAACCTTCGCGCCTATGGCCTCTCGGCAGCTCTTAAGGTCCCTGTCAGTACAACCCTTTGGAAGACGACGACTCTCGACCGCATCACGCCGCACTGTCGCCCAGTTTCTCGAGACCAAACCAAATTCAGAACTTAAAGATGTTATTGTCAATGGATTTGTTCGGTCCGTCCGAAACATGAAGACGGAAAGATTCGTCAATGTCGGCGACGGCTCAACACGGAAGCCCCTCCAGGCTGTGGTCTCCAGGGACCAAGAGGAAAGGTTGGTGAACTCTGCTGTTTTTAATCCTTTGATGTCCCGGGGATTCTGATCTTCGTATACTACTAGCTCAAACCTGCGAGTCGGTGCTGCAGTCCGCCTACGGGGTTCCTGGATCCCTTCCAAGACGGAGGGTCAAAGTCACGAGTTGAAGGTCGATCACGTCGAGGTTCTTGGTCCTTCTGATGCCAAGGTATGTACTGAGAGACTCACACATCCCTCATCTTATGAGCCTAGGCAGGCCTAACTGTAGTTGTTCAACAGACTTTTCCTATTCAGAACAAATATCAAACGCCGGAATTCCTCCGATCGATGCCCCATCTTCGACCAAGAATCCCGTTGAATGCCAACATACTGCGCCTGAGGTCCGAGGCTGTTGCGACATTGACTCAGTTCTTTGCCTCTCGGGATTTTGTTCAAACACACCCGCCTATAATTACGTCTTCTGACTGCGAGGGGGCTGGAGAGGTTTTCAATGTTACCACAGGGCCGGCCGAGACATCACCTTCAGCAACCAATGGAAAGAACACGAAGCCCGATCTCTTTTTTCGCTCGCCCAAATACCTCACAGTGTCCTCTCAACTCCATCTCGAGGCATTGGCTCAGTCGCTAGGCCATGTTTGGACCCTCTCTCCCACCTTCAGGGCAGAGCAAAGTGATACCACCCGCCATATGAGCGAGTTCTACATGCTGGAAGCCGAAATGAGCTTCGTGGACGAGCTGGACGAGATCATGGATCTTACTGAGGATATGTTGCGTGGGTTAGTTAACGGCCTTTACGACACTCGTGCTGCACAGGAGCTGCGGGAACGACGACCTCCTGGCAAGACACTCACAGCAGAGGATGATCTAGTGCCGATCGAGGAAGTCGAGCGCCGATGGCTGGGCATGATGCAAAACCCAACATCCAGGTGGCCGCGCATCACGTATGCTGAGGCCATCAAACTGCTCAAGACAGAGGAAGATCGATTCGAGCACAAGCCTACCTGGGAGGGAGGCTTACATTCTGAGCACGAAAAGTTCCTTGCCAAAACCCTGGGTGCCACCAACGAGGCCGGTGCTTACATGCCCGTCTTCGTAACCCACTACCCTCGAGAGATCAAGGCATTCTACATGCGGAAGTCAGCCGCCTCCAGCACTGGCCATGGCCAACCTGGGGAGACGGTCGACTGCTTCGACCTGCTGGTGCCCGATTTATGCGAGATCGCAGGTGGTTCCATGCGTGAACACCGCCTGGAAGAGTTATTGGAAACCATGGAGTCTCGCGGCATGAGTCCGCCTGCCGGTGGCAAACAAGCCGGCAACGCTGGCGGCAATTTAGATTGGTACATTGATCTTCGTCGTTGGGGCTCAAACCCGCATGGCGGATTTGGTCTGGGCTTCGACCGACTTCTCAGCTATCTCGTGGGAGTCCCGAATGTCAGAGATGTCGTGGCCTTTCCACGCTGGTTTGGCCGGTGTGACTGCTAATCTACCGGGGCCGCATCCTCATATGATTGACTTACAACCCTGGCCCTATTCCAGCAACTACGGTTCGTTAACCTTTGCCTAGCTTGGATTCTGGAAGCTGGCTCGATGAAACAATCCAGACGGATACAACATGGCAATCGGCTGCCATGTACTACCCTGGCGACCGAGTCTTGTCCTGAGTCACCTTGTGTGTGACTACATATGCGGTGTCTCCATCCAAGGCGCTTCCCGGAGACTAGCCACAGAATTCAATGTCTTATACTCCGGTGGCTTGCAGATGACAGATCCAAATTTGACGGAATATCATGTGAGTCTCTTCGACGGATGGGAGCAGGTGCCCGTGGCCTCGGTCTCAAGAGCTTCATCTCTACTGGCAACCACAACAACCAAATACAGCGAAAGTTGAGCAAAGCCATTCTTCAGTATGGCCATGGCTGAAGCTCCAACCTCCACTGGGTAATCACTCCTCACTGCCTCAATTTTGAAAGTTGAGACAGCCGAAGATACGACTTTTGTTACTACTATCAACAATCCCGACATATTCATACACTCGTCTACACCCAAAGACGGCGCCTTGTGTGATATTACACGAGGCAAGACCCTGTATCATTATTCTGTACCTGTACAATATAATAATCGATGTCTCGAAGTGTCCCTTTCGCTGAACTCAAACACATCCCAACCGTCCATCAGAACAGCTAACTTTCTCACAAATCACATTCAACCGGCAGTTGAACTTTTCAGGCTTCGTTATACCAAGAATCAATACCTCTCAAGCTTGGGTTACGTGTGATCCGGCAGGGTGAGCTTCGCCACGCAGTGGGCCTATCGCCCGGTGATATGTCGGCTCTACGTTTACACGCAGGGGGACTTGAACTTGTATTCACCGAATGACGATCGCGAGGCAATGCAAAAGCATGGCATGCCAGACACAATCGTATTTTGCAGTTATGACGAATACGCAAACATCCGGCCGACCCGAAGCCTTTCCACTCTACTCCATTCTGCCGCCAAGTAACACAGGCTGAGCTACTAGTTAAAGTAATCACTACCGAGGAGGGGATGTACACATGAGAAGCATCACTGCCTTTGGCAATTGGGCACCAGCAAGCCGGCTACGAAAGCACAGTAATGAAACTACTCTCACGGCAGGTCAGCTGGAAACAACATGGTGCATATTCGAGCAATCGGTAGATTTCCTATGCAAGTCATGCTGACAAGAAGCTCGAGTAACAGACTTGGTTTTTACGTCCTCTGGATGGCAACGAAGTTGGAAATGCCCTTCAAATCTTGGCCTATCTAGGAAACTGACCGATTGACATTAGTCAAGTATGATGATTTACACCATTGGTACATTTACACTTCGCAGAGAAGTACCAGACACTTGACGAGTTACCAATTGTCCAAAACCCCAGAACAAATCATTGAACCCGTCTTAAGTTTCACCTAGAAAAAAGCTTAATTCCACAGCGATTCCTGTATGGGATAAGCTGCTATAGCATCATCACTATTACCCTCACTAGTTGACTAGAGTTTGATTGCGGGATTGAATAGCCATGTATTTCGGCAGAGTCGAGGTTGTAACATGACTGCGCAACGGCAACACAACAGAGGATAGAATTCAATCGGGGCTCTTGGAGCTCTCGAATAAGATGGCGACAGCCAACACAGGTAGGTGAACATCAATCAAGGTGGCCCCTCCACCCACCGGGCAGGGCTCTAATGTCGCCAAGGGATGAGCCTCTCTTGGGTTATATCCTCTCTGCCCCTGTGCTCCTTGAGGCGGCAATTTTGTACAGAGGACGAGCCGGCGCTTTGTACTGAATTTGGTCTCGCTGAATCTGCCAAGACTCTTGGGGGAACGCTTGGCAAAACTTTTGATCCAAGAGGAAACACAGTTTTTTCTTGGGTGTGGTCAACTGAGGTTCTCCAGAGCTAGGCAAACATTGAAACCAGTGTACGCTCGGCTCTTGCTGAGTGAGAAGGGAGGTATTGATGAGCGATGCAAACCGTCTAAATCTGCCTAGTGTTACCCTGGCTTTCACAGGCAGACGGACGCTGGGTTGGTTGGATGCTGGTGGGAACTGGGCATCACACATCATCTATTGGCATGACATCAATTCATGCGATGTCCCTGGACCGTCCCCACTGCCAACAAAACGACCCTCTCGCTCCGTTGTGAGTCGTGTGAACGGGGATGGGCACAACACTTGAACAGATGTACCGTACCCTGCCACGGATACTACATTACAGTAGGTACAGCCAATACCTGTACATTGGATCCAACCTCCAGAGTGGCATCCATCTGTACCCGAAAATGGATAGCAGACCAGCAAGAGCTTGGCCTGAAGTCGAGGGTTTGGTGCAAGGGCATGGTTGGTATCCAAGCACCTACCCACTTGCAATAGGCAGAGGGAGATATCCTGATTCACGACAATCGGATACGGTATCTTTCCCTTTTTCCAGCCGTCTCCATAACCAAGTCAATGAATAAACCCCGCTGCTTGGATTCCGCGCCTCCCCACAATCCGACCGCCAGAATGGGGGCATGAGACTCCTTGCAGCACTAGTTTGGCCGTAATGCCATGGGTTGTGCACCGTACCGCACGCTCACACCAACAGCATCCAGGATACGAAAGCCCTTTCTCAAAGTGCTTGTCCCGATTTTGCCGGCCCGCATGCCACGCCACGAGGTATCCAGGATGGCGCTATCGATAGTGCTCCGCCGTCAACGATTAGTTCGCATTCCCCATCCCTTCCAATCCCTATCGCCGTCAATGTGCTTGGGATGGCCGCGTCAGCGACCAACCGGGAGTTCTTCTTTGACAAGAAAAAAACCCCCCCCCTTATTAAGCCACGGACATAGAGTTCTCCACCGCGGAAGAAGCATTCGCTTTCGGACTCAAGCAGGGTATAGCAATCAAGGCTGTGGAGCCTTGGGCGTGCGTCGAACGAATGAAGCTCGACATGGCGTGTTGATGACACTGAGTATCGAATTAAGCTTAAGCACACCTTCGGGATTACCTGTGGAAGACTGACCAAGCGAGCCAAAGACTTGACTAATTTGCGCAGACTCACGGCCTGTGCGCCTCTTTTTTGGCCAAGGAATGCGTTGAGTTGCACCCACTTTTAAGCTTCAAGTAGTTTTGCCATCTTCCCCTTGGAGGGAGAGGATTCAAACAAGGGGGCTCACGGGGTGCTGGGCTGGGAGATGGTCTGACGAGCAGACGTTCTGTCGTTCGAATCTGCCCATCTGGCATGCATTAAACGACACTCGAGACAGCCAAATTCGCTTGCGAAGGGCGCCCGGAGAGCAGCCATGGTCATTTCGCAAAAGAACTACAGCAGCAACATTGCAGCAGTATGTACTCTCCACCAAGCACAAAAAAAAGCCAAGAAAAGACGTCCGTCTTGCACTTGTCATGGGGACGCAAACCTCCAGAAGCGACCGCCGAGACGGGGTTTCGAACGACCCCGTAGTGCTTCACTGGCGCCGAGTCTACTCCCTGGCCTCGCCAATTAAAACATAACATTCATCAACCTTTTTGAGTTGATGACAAGCCGCCAAGATGCATGCGACAAGCCTTTAGGGTCATCGGCAACAACCCTTTAGCAGTCGCCAATAGGTCGATCCATGCCAGGGCACTCGGCGATAATGTCCCAAGCGCCGCCGTTGGCTTGGACGGCCGTATCGGAACCGATACGCTTACGCTACACTGCACTTTTGATTCGATCTCATCTCCACCGATGACCAAGTGTAGGTGGATAAGGAGCCAGCACTGCCTCAATGCCAATGCTTCGATCGGGCGGCCACCAACGCAGGAATATGATACTGCAACATTTAGGGCTAACCAACACTCTGGGACCTTTTGAACAAGAGTTGGTCGGTGGCCGACGTATCCGGGCATCTGCCCGCAAAATTGCTTGTTAAGCGGCATCGCCTGTGCCGTTTAAGCGGGGCCCCTTGTCGACCACCGCTCGCTTCAGCTCGCATCTCGGCCACCTGCCCTTAAAGGGCTGATGCCAAAGGAACTTTTCAATAAGCTCAATCGACAGCTCCGGGCGGCCATAGGGTTCTGTTATGCCGCAATGCAAGGCCACCCATTGGGCAAGGGATAAATGAGACGCCGCAAAGGTTCACCGGTAAAATGTGTCAACCTAGAGTCTCGAGTTTGCTTCCAGCCTGCGTCTAGCAGCAAAAGCCCCCAACAATTTTTCTTCTTTATTTTCGTCCCGCTATATCTGGGTCTGAATGTGTCGCCGTAGTGATGGAAAGGACACGAGCTGTTGATCAGACCCTGGTTCCTCTCGTGATGCAGCAGACAGCCGTGGCCAAGCATGAGACCATGCCAGTTCAAAAGAACCAGTTGCCCGAACGCCAGATTAGAGTTGCAGAGCAAACCAATCTTTAACAGGTTGCTGCCTTCTCACGCCGCTAATGCACTCCGGACAGGGGTCGTACACCCACGTTCAAAGCAGCCTGGACTACATGGAGAAACTTGCAGGATCGAGCGATCGATGGGCTAGGAAGGGTTTGCCCGTTTCCTTTGGTAGCAGGTCGTACATGTTACTCTTCCTTACTCCCACTATCAAAGGCGCAAACCAAGCTCCAATAATTACCGAAGCAGTGGCGGAAACCTAGATGACCTTTAAGCAAGCTCAGCTTGATACGGAGCCCAATCACTGCGCAGGCTGACATTAGCCCCGGGTGCCTAGCCGTATCAGCCGACGTCTAATGGCAACTCTGGTTGGGTCTCAGCTTGGTCAGGATGTCTGGCACGCCCTCTCGTTTTATTCCCGCCGTGTCTCACTAGCGAGTGATGTGAAGGGTGCGTTCAAAAACCCAGTGGAAGGGTACTGGCTAAGGCAAAGGGGATCCGGTCCCGTGTTGCTTAATGCTGCAGCCACATGCCACACGCAACCAGAGAACATACATCGCCACGTGAAGAGGAGGACATCTCAGTGAATCATCACCTTGGCTCCAGCTCTATTTGGTATCC